AGGAGAGTGTCGGCGCAGCAGCAATGGCGCAAGTGAAGTGCTACATTTTGCTTTCTTTGCCACACACAGGCAGTGGCATTCAATAAACGCGCGCACACACAATCATGCAACATCAAATAAAAACAAAAAACTGTTACAAGGTGAAGCAGCTAGGCGACAGCATAGCAGACACAAAGGCGTTCGGGCGACATTGCGTAGGTGGCACAAACACCAGCACAACAGAGCGCGTACGCCAGCACAGGCAACCATGTGGCAAGTGCATACGCGCATCTGTGGCATGTGGCAACAAAGTGTGTGTGTGCGTGCGGTGCTTTTGAGAAAGTGCTATTCGGCAAAGTAGCAAATTACGACACAACAGCGTTGCAAATGGCACATGCAACAATGGCACACTCACACACAGATGTATGTATGACTTAAATGAATTGTGTTGCAAGTGGCACAAATAGCGTCAATGGTGTTAATGGGATTAAATGGCTGGTGCTGTAAATGGCTTAAAATTCAGTCGCCTTTACTAAAGCGCCAACGTTGCACATATGCATACACACTTGTGTGTGTTGCAGCATACATATGCGGCGCTCAACGCTGCAACAGTAACCTTCGTTATTTAATAACTTGCCGAAAGTGCCACCAAAATGTTTTTAAAAAGCCATAAAATGCATGTCAATAGCCCTTTCATATGCTCGCGGCTAAGTGGATGCCACACGGCTTTTTTGGCACAATTTATGCGTTCGCGGGGAGGCAGCGGTGGACGCGTGTTTGCCAACTTTTCGACCACAAGAACTTTTGTGGCATGCAATGCACTTGCATCATCCACAAAATGGTACCATAACTGCTTGCCTCATGCATGTGGCAACTATTCTTGTATGAGCGTGAGTATGTATATGCGACATGAATGCACAAGTAAATACATGCCACGAATTGTGTGCCCTTCGTCTGAGCATACAAAAATTCATTTCATCGCAATTCCATCGAATGCAGTTTGTTTAACCCGCACTGTGGCATGATGGCACGAGTAAAGCTTTCTGCATCAAATTAAAAGAGAATCAACATTTTTTCACATCAAAAGGCGACCTTCGCAAAAAATCAAATCTCTGGCCTCGTAGCATACTACAACGCACATGCCACATATATGTGTGGCATCTACATGCATATGCATAGTGAAGATACGCGTTTGAAAAGAATTTCGAATTTAAAGCATTTACGCCAATATTTTTCCACACTTTTTATTGGTATATAGATATGCAGATGTATATGTATGTACATGTATACATGTGTAGTTTTGTGTCTATGTACCCTAGCGCCCCCATCAGTTTGCTTGTGGCATGTTTGGAACGCACAACGAATCAATTAAAGTTACATTCAAAAAGTTTTCACTCACATGTCTATATATATATATATATGTATATATGTATATTTGTAAATATATTTATGTATACGCATGTATATAGGAGAGTGTTGAACTACGTCTCTATGCTTGCAACACACATTCGTTCACGCACGCCTGTCATTTATCAAAGTTTGGCAAGCTTTGATGCAAACATTGCGCACTTGACTGTTAAAAACAAAAAACAAAAAAAAATTGATTTTCTAAGACCTTGGACGCCATAAAAGCAGTGTTTGAAAAATCTGCAGTAGCGAAAAGGACATGCAAACAGCCATTGCAGTTGTGTTGGGCCAGAAAGGCCGAAGTCTACTTTCAAAGCTGTGCGCCAAAGCAAAGTGTGAATGAAAATCGAAAAAATATCAACTTTTTCAAAGCTTTATGCCTTGATGCTGGTTTTTACATTGGAAATGTGCAAAAAGTCCCCAAAGTGTAGTCAAATATAGACAGATTTGTCGTGCTAATGAACGTTTGTTGCACGTTGTTTGTGGCACATTCGATTCTGTCACATGGCTCTTAATGAAAAGGTGTGTTGAATATAGAAAAAAATACAGAAAGAACCAAAAGTGTAAAAAGTCTTTGGGTTTGTGGCCAATGCGACTGTGTAGTAATTAGAAGCGACAGGTAGAACTTTGTGCTTTTATTGATAATACTTACGTAACTATATATTGTGGGAGAGATTACAATGCTTTGACTAAAACTAGTTAGTGTTTTAAGTGGTGTAATTAGAAGAGTTACACATAATCTGCTTTTAGAAGTTCTGCAACTTTAACTTTAGCAGGTGATCTTTCTCATTTCCGTACCAAAATGACAGTTTTAGATTTAAGCAGTTTAAGCGAACTCACCAATCGACCAATTATCAATACCAAAATTATCAAAGTAGTTCAACTAGGTCAATTTAAACTAAAAAAGTCAGCATGTGAACCAAAATAGAAAACCTGTAGTCCGTACCGATTTTCGTTACCAGAGAAAGAAACACCTTTCAAAACACCAAGAAAAAGCCTTCAGTTATGAAATAGCTTGAAAAATCCGTCAGCTATCGAAAGTAGCTAAATACTATAATAGTAAATCAATCAAATAAAATAAGAGCAGCCAAATATCTGGCGCTGCTGTGAACATTGATCGAAGTTAGAGGCTGTCGTTTACTTAGTCACCCTTAGTATAAAACGCGGACCACTTTTGCCCATAAGTAACGTTTAGGTAGGTAGGTAGTATACATAGGTTGTAAGCCTATTATAACTTTTACGACAGAGAACACGGAACCCCTAGGATGAGCTTTTGTGATGCCAAAAACCCTTACATATTATCGAAAGACCCTCGTTAGATGCAGCTCATGGTGCTATTACAGCTGAGGCCGCTAATTTCGATATGACAGAATTCACGGGTTGACCAAAGTTATGACGTAATAGAGGTTTCGATCTAGCAAAGGTTAAAAAGTCGATCAGAAAATGTAGATAATTTTCTACCTCGCAAACTTTCAGATATCTTTAACGGTGTGATGTGCGTACGCGGTGTCAGTTTTGATTTTGAATTTAAATTTTCAAAAATTGAAATTACTGGCGAACTGCTTCCAACATACTAGGGGAACATATATTTATATCTAATAGTATTATCTTGGCATGAAAAGGTTAGAAGAGGTTATATTCTATAGACTACATTTACTACAGTACACGAAGTATTATAAATTCACAATAATCAAAAAGTCATGACTGATATTGAAGACGATTTGTACTATTGTAATATGTGATGGAAACTGATTTTCTTATGATGAATTGCTATCAGTGGCTCCAAAGAAGCCATTTGTATGGACGTTCAGTCAACTTATAATTATCCAGGACTCTCTAAAAGATAACTAAATAATTTTTTTTATCGTGCTGTTTATGGTGAAAAAAATTAAACATTTCTTTTATTAATGTTCCACCGAAAATCGTTCCTACAAATGAAGAGAGGCTCTGAGAAGTCGAAAACTGTTGATGGATGCTACATAAAGTGACGAAACCATTAAAATGCAAAACGAAATCTGAAAATGGCAAATTTGGTAGCACAACTGTGCCATGAAGTCAAGTAGCGAAAAATATGAATTTTGAAATAAGAATTTCAAAAATATTCACACATTTTTGGCATTTTAATTTCATAATTTGTCATGGGCACGAAACTGCATGCAACCGTGTTATGGACTCTTTTCAGCGTATAGCAGGTGATTCGAGCGGTAAATTGGAAAACATATGCAGCATAGCTGTGGGCATTTTTCGTCGAAGAATTTACGCGTGATAAAAACCCAATTGGAGTGGAACTAGCGCGCCTCAGTGCTGTTGCCGTTGTGGCACTGTGCGCGCATCTTCGACGCCAACTACAATGCCATGCGTACAATGCTCCACGGTTGTCGGCGCGTTGCCGTGCAGTGCGCTGGTATGCCAACGCGCTCGGACCGGCGTTCGGCTGACAGCGCCTGTAATTGATCCGTACAAACTGTCAGTCTAATTAACATGACAACATTGTGAGTGACGAAGGTCCTGCGACACACGCATCCGTTGTCCACACAAACATTTCAATGCGTATGCGAGTGTGTGTGTGTGTTTGTGCGTCCGCATTTTAAAAACGCTTGTCGCGGCTTGGCAAGTGGAGTTTCAACACAAGTATTTTGCGGCCACTTTGCGCCACATTTCAGCGCTCGAGTGCGTGGAATTGTTCGGTGAGTTTTTGTTTCTTTTTTTCATGCAACATATTCTTTTGTGCGGCATTTTAATTTTCATGTGCGAATATTTTCGTATTCCGTATTTTTAACTACTTATGTCTCTTCACCTTTTTTCAGCTTTCGGCTTGCAGCTTTTCAGCCAGTTTCAGTTGTCATTTAATGTGCTTAATGTCATTATTATAAGATTTTTAAAGGTAAGTTGGGACAACGCAAGCCGCATTTTCATACAAACACATGTTTATATTATATATCTGCATATGGGATTATTGCGCTGAGAGTTTGCTGTTGTGTCTTGAAGCTTGCAACATCGGCGTGATTAATTGGATTGTTGCGCTAATATTACCGCGTGTAGTGGTGTTTGCGCGCCTGCTGCGAACTCTCTTGCAACTTGAAGAAGTAAATTCAAGCGCGTATACATATAATACATAGAAATGCTGTGCCTATACATAATGAATTTGCATGCGTTTATATAAACACACCAGCATACATACACTCATCTGCTGTTTTACCCAATCGTCGTTGTGTTTCTTTCACTTTTTGCACTTTGCTGAGTGGCATTTTAACGCATTTGCCTCAATTTCTGTCCAGTTGAATTTCGCCACAAATTTCTTCATACCAAATCTGTCTGCTGATTGTTGATATATAATATGAGTATCAGGCAGGCTTATTTTAATATGTGTTGCAAAGTAATTTCTTTCTTTAAAATGTAACTGACATTAATCCCTGACGCGTGTCTGGCAGCAACGCTGGCAACAAATATGAAATTTAACTCGATGTCTGCAAACACAGTGCCTATACATACTTACATATACATATGTACCTATATTTGCAGTTGCATGTATTGAAAGCTTTTGTTGCGAGAAAAAGCGCGAGATTTTTAAAAAATCTAATGCGTAAATGAAATGTAATAGGATTTCGACTCACCTGATAACACATTGTGTCTTTGAGACAATCACCGTTCTCAGTAATATACTGCAAAGAGAGAAGAATATTCAGAAATGAGTATAGACAGTGAAAAAATAACTTAGACATAAAATTACTTCAATGAATTTTAGTATCTACCATCTATTAATGAAATTGCTGGGATTTTACTTAAAGTGTTGTTAAAAAGAACATACAGGGTGTTACTTATAAGGCTTTCTTCAAAAATTAAAAAAATATTAATGTGTGTTAATCAACATGATTGCTGCTAGAATTTATAGAAAGAACTTAAAGGAAACCCATTAAATATTTCTTTCTCATGTCTGCTGTTGATAGAGTTGCTGTTGCTCATAACATTCGCATAAAAATTTTGCCAAGCTGTCATACTCCGAGTTTGTATTCGTTCAGCGTTCTTACGAGCTGTTGTAAGCCCTAAATTAATAGCAATAGAGGGGAATATATTGTCTTACTTCAACTACAAGCACTTTTGACACTTAAAGGTGAAAAATGTGTATAATATAAGTATCAGTGTGATAGCAAGTAAAACAAAAACGGCACTGGAAGCACTTTGTTTTTAATCGGAGTATCACACGTAGACGGAATCTTTTTACAAAGCTGGATTGAATTAGGCTCTACGGCTGATCACTAATGAGAAGTCCTATATAAAGCTAAGAAACTTCTGTACTTGAATTCCCTGTATCGACAAGTTATGATTCCAGCATAAATCTCCTCGAAGGTCACTCAGTTTTGATGTCGAAAAGGCGAGACGATTGACAAGATAATGTTGGAAATTTCTCACCCGGGCTTCTGCCAAACAATTTCTAAAACTGGAGCTCGATAAAATTTTTAACCTTACTACGTAGACACCCATTGGACAAAGACCGGTTGCAAGCAATGTAACTAGAGAAAAGCGCTTCCTAAGCTCACTTGACCACTCACTATTCATAGTAGTTAACCACAAGCTGACAGTGAAGCTTCGGTCTCTTAACATTGTTCTGTGGCCCGGTATCATTACTAGTCTTAACTTGAAGTAGTTATATTCCATTGGTAAGTTTCTACCATTTCAAAGAAATTTTGCATAAACTTCAGAGAATTTCATTCAGCATTTTGCAGTTGTGTAACGCCAACTTCATTTATACAAGCAAGAATTATATCCAGCCGAACAGATAAAAGGATATGTGTAGCTTTAAACCTGCGAGACGAGACGACGAACAACTAATTTTCGAGTAAGTCAGTTTGCAGGAGACCTATGTAAAATTATTACTACCCAAGCTTGTTATATAACTATCGAGCTTAAAGTAATCTAACAGCAATTGAAAAAGTATTTAGTTGAGCGCTTGACAAAAAATACGAGCAGCAGTCTTTTTAAGTTCAAAACACAGCATGATAGTTGTACAGTTAATTCGAAGTGGGCTTCCATGAAAAGAATGAGATGACACATATAAATTTCGAAAAACTTGCGCATCTTTATGCTTACAACCAACACTTAATTCTTTTCGAGTTAACTAACCCTGCAACGGCAGTGAGGCGTCTGAGAACGAGCTCAATATGGTCGCGGTGCTGCTAGTTGGCTACCTAAAAGTAGAGGAAGGGTTGAGAAGTCGCCAAAGTGCTGATCTGATAATAGATCTGACATGTTTTTTCCTTATATTGTGCACTGAAACACACACACACACACTAACACAACTGCCAGCAATGACTGATCAGCGGACGACACAATGGATTGGCCGTTCAACGCTTCGTCGCATTGCGTTTTGTCCTTTAAAAAAGCCAAAGCGCACAACAAAAAGTCGGAAAACAATAACGTAAGCAATTGCAGCGCTATTGTCGTTTCATCAACTTTGCTGTTGTTCTTCTTTTTTTAGGTTTTGTCAGCCAAACTTACATTTCCGTTGCTGGCTTGGCTCTGTTGGTAGGCTTCTGCGCTTCTGGATTCTTTGGTCGGCTGCTTGCCGCTGCTCGTTTGCATCTCGTCAACTCAATTGTTGCATTGTTTTAGCCATTATTGTGCCACATACAGTCACACACACACACACACACACACAATGACAATAAGCGGTAGTGCTGCCACTGCCAGTTGCTTGGTCAACACACACTCGCTGTCACCGTCGCTCCGCTGCCGATTGTTTGGCTTTGTTGGTCAGTGCTGGCCCAACGTTCAACTATTCAAATTGGACACTAAATGTGTCAGAGGAACTCTCTTAATTGTGTGATTGATTGATTTATGGTGAACAGGTTACTTCCCTGCCAAGCCAAACCAAGCCAAGCCAAGCGGCGAACAACGGCCAAGTGAACAGCGTCCTTGTTGCCATTGTGCGCCCAAAGCGGCTGCCACTGCGCTTTGAGTTATATTCATGCAATATTGTGTGCATGTATGTGCGTTATTTGCATGTGCAAATCTGTGTGATTGGCTTAGTATGTGCACTTGTGTACATATGTATATTCAAGGCCTTTTTGGTTGATTTTGTTGGGAAACTTTTTATTTTTTTCCGATTGCTCACATTTTCTACTCAAACGGTAGCAAATCTGTTGGTCGGTCGGCTGTCAGCAAAGCGCCGAATTGCAATTTGTTTTGCAATTAACGAGCTCATGGGTTCTCGAATTGATTTGAGCACATCAAGTATTTTAAATGAAAGGATTTTTAGTTATATTATTTTTTCAAAAATAAAGTGGAAATTTTGAAGACATTTTTCGAATTTTAAGAAAATATATTTTCCAACTTCACTAAAGAAACAGCATGTGTTTCATCTAATAATAATATTTACATTAATTTAATAAAATTATAGACCAAAACTTTCATAAATAATTAAAAAATAAAATTTCTTAAATAAAATTTCCTACAAAAACAAAAAATCAATAAAAATTTCCCCTGCTTTGTAGCGGCTTATCAATTGCTGTCCAAACCAAAATTGAATTTTACTTATTTTGCGGCAAATAACGAAAGCATATTATTGGAAATCTTTACAAATCCCGCCGTGGCAGGCACAAATCGCCTGTGAAGCAAGGAAAGTTTAGGCAAAAATAAAGGAACAAACACAAAAACATGACACCGCTACAAAATTGCTTCTTCCTAATCCCCAACGGCGGATACAGCGGCGGCGACGGCGGCAGTGTGACTTGACTTGATTCCCTTTTTTGTTTCGTCGAGCGGCGACCACACACTTGAAAAGCGCCGCCTACAATGCCCCGCAACTGCCGACTGCGTCGATTGCTGGCGCAGAGCTTGGAACCTGCTGCCGACGGCCGACAACTGCTCCCACATGCTTGAATGGCGGCCGCGACCGTACAAGTAGGAGAAAAAGCGAGCTGTGTCCAAATTAACTTCATGCTGAAACTTCTAATGCGCCATACAATGTTGCCACATGCCGCCGGCATGCCCACATACACACACCACCGATATTAGGTAAGCCAGCAGTGTTGTTGTGGTTGACCAGTTTTAGCTTTCTTCGCATTCTCCTGCTCCTTTTTAGCTTTTTTCTTCGTTCCTATGTTTATAGTTTATTCAACAGCTGCCACATAAAGTGCGCTTTTGTGGCTGCCACTTTGCTATTCCTATTCTACTTGCTGTTATTGTTGTTGCTTGTGTTATTAGAGCTGCGGCTGGCTGCCCTTTTCATGGCTTAATCAAATTTCATCCTAAAAGGCGAGCTCGTCAGGCAGGTCGGCCGACCGGCAGGCAGTCAGGTCGGGCCGTCGTTAGCCAGTCAATCCACGGCTGCATGAATTGAATTTCGTCGCCAGCATCCAGCAACAAAAATGCTGTGCGAGCAAAAAAACCACCAGCGACGCCAGTGTGGCGATCGACCAGCAGCCGCCAGCCCAAAAATGTGCCAGTTCGCATTTTTCGACTTTATTCTAAACGTGCGCACCCAGCCGCCGCTTCTCGCCTACCCCAGCGCCTTGCAAAGAACATGTCATGTTGCCCCCACCTCCGCTGCCTCACACCCGTACACACTCTTAGCATCTGGCATATTGCACCCCCCAACCGCTGGATACATGGGCGCGCACACGCCCCTCTATTCAGCCGTCAGATATTATTTTGATTTATTTCGTTGATTGATTTTTCGTCGATTCTCATTTTTATTTCGTTGCCTTACTTCCTTTTTCACTTTCAGTGGCTCTGATTTGTTTTGCTTGCCACATTTTTTTTTTATTCTTAAGCGGCTTCGTTGTTGGGGCTCTATTTACTCAGCAGGAAGTGTTTTACATCGTGTTCATATGTATTGCTGTGTAAATATGTGCTGGCTTAAGTTGTGCTGTGCTGATGGAATTGGATTTTGGATTTTCAATAACAGCGCTTACAAAAATAATAACAACATCGACAACAATTTAGACGCGATTTGTGTGTTTTATGCGGCAGTTACATACAACAACACCAATACACACACAGGCGCAGTTATTTAGGCATTTTGGTTAGTGTGTACCCAGCCTTATTACGCCCGACTCGTCAGCCCCCTATGGCTTGCCGGGTGTATTAATGCTTTATTAGGCTCTGTTATTATTTTGATTGTTTTGTGGCGTTTTTCTTGTAGCTCGTCTTGTAGCAGAAAAGTAGCATATGGGTGTGGCGGGCGCTGAGTGGCGATATGGTAATTGATGTGTACAGCTTTTATCGCCTCGTTGTAATCAAATTATTTTACTCTGTGATTTTCTATAATTCATAATATGTCAGTTAATTCCCACAGTGCAAGAATCCAATTAACGTACAATATATTTATATTTGAGCGCAATAATACAAAGTGTGTATGGAGTTAATGTATATTTTCCCCTCTTAATGGCTCTTTAAATAGAAGAATGGCTTCATATATTAGACTGAATGCCAGAGTATTTTTAAAATTTTTGGAGTAAGACTATATGAATACATCACAGGTATATACATTTTGGAATGCGAAAACATCGGATTTTGAAATGAGAGTGATCTTTCGAATTTAAACATAAAAGGCTTACTTAGAGATTTCCTTAACAACCCGGATAGTTTGGCTATGTCCGTCTATATGTCCTTTTGTTTGTCCGTCTGTCTGTATACATGCGAACTAGTCCCTCAGTTTTTG